TTTTTTTTTTTTTTTTTTTTTTTTTTTTTTTTTTGAGGGAGATCAGGAGGCTTCTAAAAGGGGTTATATGATGTCTCTACCTAGGTTACCAGTGGGATGAATCTGGGGAAGTGGGTCCCTCTCCATTTGTGTTTCTGCCAAATCCCAAAGCTCTCCTTTGCCAGCTGCTGGTATCATGCATAATAAGTCTTTCTAATTTGAGATATGCACAGCTCTCTGCAGACCCCAATTACTCAAAATAGTTCTTCTAGAAAACGTCCCTTTGCAATATAACCTCTCACATTTCTTTCATTCTTCTGTTCTCTGTTTACTTGCAAGAGCAATGACCTCTCTTCACACCTGGCTCAGGCAGTCTCCTGGGAAAGAAGCCACGGTATGGATGAGGCAGCTAGTGAACGGTCTCATCTGCCATGAGATGCTGACAGGCCCAAAGACCAAGCGGTGTTGTTTCAGGAGATACAGGCTGTCCTAGTAATGATTCCCTGCTCTTCCTTATCTCACCTACTCATCATGTACCTTTTCCTAAATGCAAGGGTAAAGTATTAGTAATTGAACTGTTTTATGCACATGCAAGTCTTCACTGTCTGTGCTCTATTTTCTGGCAGAACAGTAGGTACCCTATAATAAGATAGATATGTTCCTTGTAAATGTAAATCTGTGCTGCTTCCTGATCTCCCCATTCTTGTGAGTTCTTGCAAAGTACTTGTAGTTCCCAAAGGTGTCTCTAGTTTTCATCAGTGTCTGTTGAACCCCTGCAGCTTCTTCTGAGTGTAGTGGCAATTGTGGCTTCTCAGTTCTGAATATCAGTCTCATAAAAGAACCACTTGAATTTTGTGTTTAATAATATTTACTTATACAGATAGTAACAGCTAGTGTGGGGATGTGCTTTCTGCTTGGTGATTTTATATTGCCTAAAACAATAGCTCGTCAGATCATTGGGCTTTGTGGCTCTACTGTAATGGCACTAGTGGGTTTATGCACACTTTAAAGTGTTGAAGGACACTGATAGGCCTGAGGGCTAGGTCTGCACTGGGCTTTCCCCACTTGCCCATTTTCATTTTCTCCTGGTTGTTTGTACTTCGTGGTCATTCACAAAAAGTTCTTCTAAAACTTTCTTTTGGTAGGAGTCTGTAGAAAAACCCTGGCCATTTCAAAGAAAGGGAGATAATCTTAAATAGATCACAGCAGTTTTCAAAGTCCCTGCGTGGTGTGGCAAAGGCCAGCACACAGAGAACAAACACAATGTGTGTGCTAGCTCTGGGAGTTCTCAGTCCCCTGCAACTCTGACCAGGGACCTCTTTCAAGCAGGCCTTATGAAAACAATCTTATTTTTTTTTCTTCCAGTTCCTTACCTTTATCCATCTTGTCCTTTTTCTGTCTATCTCCAAGGAAATAATTTTTTTTTTGTCTCCAAAGAGCTTCTTTTTAATATAGAATTTCCAGCTCCCTGGAAATTCTGTTCTTTTTCACTTTGATTGACAACCTCATGTTTCCTTTCACACCCACCCCCATTACAGATTTTTTTTGGGCTGCAGCTTCCCCAATGCATTAAACAGACCTGCTGCTGCCTTCTCTGAGAAAGTGCTGAAAAAACTTTTCCAATTTCAGGCAGCTTTCCTTTTTATAGCATTTGCTAGCAGCATTGTGTATCCGGCTGAGCTCACACTTCCAACTGGAGACAACTAAGAGCCAGGATTGCAAGTACCAGACAGGGCTTTTCTAACCTTTAGCTGTATTGATACTTTATATAAACAAAAAGGGAGATGATAAGCGATATAATGCAACTTCATCATTATATTATTACAGAAACTCTCAGGGTATCGTGCTGTACTAGGAAAAGATGTTTTGAAATTCAAGTGTGCTTAGCTGCTATAAAACACTCCGGGGTCTCCGTTCTAATGTTGCTAGAGAGCATGCATGGACAGAAAAGATAGTATACAGGATCCTCTTCTTTATAAAGCACAAGTATTTATTTGGGTCTTTATTTCCTTGGCTTTCAATGAGCCCAGACGGGACATGCACCATGTAGGAGTGCCTGCTTCATCACAGTGGCCAGTATAAAGAGCAGCTAATCCCAGGGCAAAGGCAGATGTTGGGATGAGGCTGAAATGTAAAACACATATACACACACATACGTAAATGAGTAAATAGATACATAAAGACACTGCTACCTATTAACTAGGATGCTGTGATGAAAAATTGGGACTATTTTACAGAACATGAGGCAAGCATATCCCTAGCTGAGTTTCATGCAAATTATTTCTTGTGAAACGTTGGCATTCCCAGAGGATCTTGTGACCTGATTCTCAACACTGCTGAAGGCATTCAAATCCCACCGGGAGCCAGAGGGGTTCAGCACCTTTGAAATTCAAGGACGGCTTAATTCTGGTCAGGTGTGTAGTAGTTCCAGGATAACAGGGAGAGCAGGCCCCTGTTCCTGCACCCAGGCCAACAAAAATAATTTATTTTCCTGCTTTGTGAATTCTGCTAGCAAAGACATAGATTAGTGCATTACGGTTTCCCTGATGTGGAACCCTCCAGAACTGCCTGAAGAAAAGATGAGAAAAGATTTTGCATTTTTGTTCCCATTTAGACAGGACTCCATGCTGAGTCCCAGCACCACACGATGGGTGCTGTCTGTGTAACCTTATTTACTGTATCCTTAGACAATTTATGTTTTCTGTATTGGTATTAAGATAGAAATAGCGCAGAAACTTCAGGATAATACTCACTTGGGCTGGGATTTTCTAAGGGCATGAAGGTAAAGGCTCTTTACTCTGTCCATGTCTAGAATTTATATGGTTAGACCTTCAAGAGTCCTAGCCTTGCTTTTTTTTTTTTCTTTGAAAGATATTATTCTACTTACTTTAGTCACAGAAAGATACATTGTATATCAGCCTTCTCTTTAGAGAGGCTTTAATTACTAGAAGTAATAATTAAAAATCAGTTATAGGATAAATGTATAGCAGACTATCAGAAAATTTTATCAGAAAGTGATTTTTTTAAAAAAAATAATGATTATTCTGCTAAGAGGACAGACTTGAATCCAGTTTTAACTCCATGGCTGCTATGGATATTTTGTAATAACCTGTGAAGCAGGCTCGACAGCTGCCACTCCAGTCAGGCTCAGATCCTTACCTGGCAGTACTGCTGCCTCCTGTAATTACATTTAGCATTCCTTCGGCAAACAAGCCAGTGTCCTGTCTGGCTTTGACATTAAACATAAAGCTCCCAGTGTCATTATTGCTGCAGGTTTTTTGCAGTTATTGCTCAGAGCTTTTTCTCTGTCACTGTGTGGCAGCACTGCTCCACGTAATGGATGCTACTTATTTTCCCTTCAGCTTGAGAACCAGGTGAATGATCAAAGTCCTTTTGTCACTAGACCCATCCCTGTTCATCTTTATTTGATGGTTTTCTCTATCCTTCCCACACTCATTTTTCACCCTTCATTGTCCTCACTTCCTCAGAGGTTTTCAAGTGATTCATATTTCCCCGGCTTTAGCATTAGATTTTTCGTATGTGCTTTCCAATTATGAGATTCTTAAGATGTGAACAATGATCAGAATTATGAAATATATGGGAGGCTATAACAGGCTTGGATAAGAGGTGGTATTCATTCCTGCCCTCGGAGTATCTAACTTTAGGTTCCCATTTCAGCTACTTAATCCTGCAAGGCTTCCTCACACAATCAGTAGAGACAAGTGCTCCTCCGCAGGGCTGGTCAGAGTGTCTGAATTAGATGTCTGCTCCCAGTGCCTCTCCGGGCTGCCTGCTTCTCTCTACTGATTGCGTAGGAAACCAAGGAAAACCGGTCAGATGCCTCTCACAGATGGTGTGAACGTTCCCCTCACCCACACAAAAAGTACAAATGCTGATCTCAGCCCAGGGACCTCGCTGGAGGAATGGAGTACCAGAACCCTCAGCCTGATGACCCTCTGACTGTATCTCAGGATCCACTTCCAGATGCCAGTGTCTCTCTGCTGTGGTTATGGATAAAAACACTGCTGTGAAAGAAGAAGGAAGTTGTAGCTGCTGTCTGGGGCCAAGAGCAAAAATTTGCCTACAAGTTCTCCGTACTTGGGAACAGCCACTGTTGTTGAGTGGCTTTGCTCCAAGCCACGTCTGCAAATGACAATTCTCACCACAAAATTCCACCCTCTACCCACCTTGTCCCCGCCTCTGCTAGTAACTTATTTTCCATAGCAAAATGTGTTTTCTGGACTCTTCCCGTTCACCTGTTTCCTGCCCTTGGTCCAATTTTCAGCTCATTTAATTTTCTTTCATGCCTTTTCTTTTTGCCCTGTAACAACCACCAGAGGTGTCATATTAGAACTGGGGAAAAGACTAATTTATTTTTGATTAAATAGGATTTTTATCCAGTAAGAATACCAGAATCTTACAGGTGAGCATGAGATTTATAGGGAAATAGGAGAATGACAGAATCTTAATGGTTCCTTGGTACCATTAGAGTCAGAAGGTCCACAGGGATAACACAGATAAAATCCACCTTGAGTAGAAAAGTTTACACAGTGACATAAAAAATTAGTTCAGTTAGGAGCTGAGGCCAGGCATGAGGGACCAGACTGGGGCAAGAGGCAAAGGATGCTTTCAAGTGTCCTCGGGTGGAACATTTCTTGTGAGGGGCTTGATCCAGAATGCTGCTCACTAACGAGCTGTCAGTGACTTATGTATCTTAATGTCATACATTTTGCCTTACCTTGTCTTACACCTTATCTCTCCCATGCTTTGTCAAATGTGGCAGCCATGAGGCAGGACAGGGAGTCACCAGTGAAGCTGCCAACTGCTCGTGTGTAGTTTCTTTCCTCGTAGGGGAGGGAATGCCAGGTAGGAGTTTGGGCTCAGACCATAAGCCAGATGGCCCCAGTACTCTCACTGCGCTGTTTTATCTTATCAAGGCCACACATGTTAAAGTCACAATGTGTTGGCACTAAGGAAGGGGCGATGGTCTGATTCAGCACAGCTGTCTGATATTGTGAAGAAACATCCTGTAACTCTCTGTGTCAAAGTGCTTGTGGTTCCTGTTTCCAGGCAGAGGAAATATTAATATATGTATTCAGGGAATACTAACCCAGAAATTAAAAGGGCCATTTTTATAATAAGGATTTAGTTTTTAAAAGAAGAAAAAAAAAGGTTCAGGGAATTATGTCTGCCAGTCACTGAGATCTGTCAAGGAGGTTGGAAGGGAAGAGATGTTGAAAGTTGCAGGAAAATTATTGCTGAGAAGAACAAAAAGAAATGAATGCTTACTATGAGGAAAAGGCTGTAGCACAAGTTCAGTGATTATCTGTCTCGTGTGACCTACCAACCAATTAATTGGCATGCATGTGCCCATCAATACAGAAACACAGAATCATTCAGGTTGGAAAAGCCCCTCGGGATCATGGAGTCCAACCATCAGCCCGACTCTACAAAGTTCTCCCCTACACCACATCCCCCAACATCTCATCCAAACGACCCTTAAACACACCCAGGGATGGGGACTCCACCCCCTCCCTGGGCAGCCTGTTCCACTCTCTGACCACTCTTTCTGGGAAAAATTTTTTCCTAATGCCCAGCCTGACCCTCCCCTGTTGCAGTTTAAAGCCATTCCCTCTTGTTCTGTCACTAATCATCTGTGAGAAGAGACCAGCACCAACTACAATGTCCTTTCAGGTAGTTGTAGTGATGAGGTCTCCCCTCAGCTTTCTCCTCCTCACACTGAACACTCCCAGCTCCTTCAATGGCACCTCACAGGATTTATTCTCCAGGCCCTTCCCCAGCCTCGTTACCCTCCTCTGCCCTCGCTCCAGCCCGTCGAGATCTCTCTCGGATTGAGGTGCCCAAACCTGGACACAACCCTCCAGGTGTGGCCTCACCAGTGCAGAGCACAGGGGGACTGTCACCTCCCTGCTTTGGCATACGCATTGCTCGGAGCTGGACCCAGCCTCCCCTCTCACCCCACGAGGAGTTATGGAAGGAAGCGGAGACACTGTGTTGTACATGTACCAAGCAGAGACACGGTAAGAGAGGGGATTATGTATAAGGGGAACTTCGGGTTACTGTGACAGTGCACGACTGAATTAAAATTTGTAGAAAACAGTTTTTACTAGTTCTGTAGTTGGAGAAATAACTCGTGTTGCTACATCCGTAACACTTGCATCGCCCACCCTCTCACTCCCCCACCATACCTCCAGTCCTCCCAATCATCCTGTCCCTTAACTGAGCAAGACGTGCTGTGGTGTGCAGGGTGCAGGGTTTTGGCAGGTCAAACACAACAGATGACTGCCCAGTGAACTCTGCAGGTTTTCTCTTATAAGAGGTGATCATTTGGGTCTCTAATCTCTGTCTGGCCATTGGTGTTCTTAAGAGACGTGAATACTTAAGATCACTGAGATCCCCAACCTGCTGTCAAATGTAACAGGAAACAGAGTGTGATCGTATTTCCAAGGGAAACCAAGCTAAAATAACCTCCATGATAACATTAATCTCCTACATTTAAAATTACACTGTTGTTTTCAGGAAGACTAGCCTCCTACACGACAGCAATGCTATAGTAAACTTGATTTTCATCACTGTGTAACTGTTTTATTGAGAGCTGAGCTGATTAGTACTAGAAAGATTCTTAATATGGCAACAGACCTATTAATTATCAATGAACATTTTAATAAACTAATCACATCAGTGAATTTTTAGAGTTCCATTTATTTTAAACAGCCAACTGACTATCTTTGGTTTTATTTTCACTTTTTCATTCCACTTGTATGAGAAACTTGTGCTTGGGCTTCACATGATAGCAGGAGAGATGTGTGTACACCAATTTCCCCCTCTCTTCTCATCAGAGGCAAGGAAATCTAATGCTTCCCCAATTTACATCCTACTTAATCCCACTGATGCTAATTTACTTAAATCTGGGTACTTTATTTGTCCAGTTAGATCTGTACAGTATGCAAAATATGAGGGTTTGGCTGGGTCTCTTTAAAATAAAGTAGTTTAATGTATCACTTTAAAATACAGCCACCTGGATTTCTTCTGCAGCAGTATTTATGTGCTTAGTTCTGGAGGAGGCCAAAAAAGGCCGTTTCTAGCTAAGTAATTTATTTAAATTCCACCTTTTTTCTTGATTTCTTCTTGTTTCAGGAGTACCTTTTGTGCTTTGCACATTCGGCTCTAGGAACCTGGGCACCTCACTGATACTATTCTCAGTAGGAATCTTCAGGGAGGACGAACAGCATATATTTGGACATCTGAGGTAACTGAAATATGATTATATGAATTAATTGTGGCTTTGAAGTTTTTCAAGTTCTTCATGTTTTTCATGAACATACAGATTTGGTTGTTGACAGTGGCATGAAGTTTCATTTAAATTGCTGAGGTTGGAAGAGCGTCTTTGCAAGCTAGCTGAATCTCAGTCCTGTTTGAAGTGGGTGTCTGGATTCTTACGGACTTCATTGGAACCAGGTTTTCCACAGTGAGGTTGGTATACACAGTAATTCTCAAGCACTGACACTTGCGGCAACTCATGATGGTTGATGAAGACTTACCTTCAGCTTTGGGATATGCAGTGCTAACAATGTCTGTGCAGTCTCAGAGCCGCAACAGCACAAAACGGAATTCAGACAGCACCTTGGCTCCCTGGTGCTCCTAAAATTGCAGGGCAGCGTAATAAGTACATAATTGAAAAGCTTTTTGATAGTAGAAGACCAACTACTTTTCTTCAGCGCACATTAACATTAATCAGTTGTCTAGGTCTGGATCAATCTATAGAACTGAAATTACAGGGACGTTAGGAAGGCAAATAATATTTATTACACAAGTGCCTAAGGCTGAGAAAGTATGGAGCTCCCCCCAACATGACACTGTACTCCCTGCTCCAAAAAAGCTCAGAGCTGGATAAAAGCAGCTTAATGTTTCTGTAAAAGTGAGGGTTGCAATTTGATAGCAAGCGTGTGGGTTATGTAGTACTTTGGTGCTGTAAGACTAGCTATGAGAGTACAAATGCAGAGAAAAGAGAAAGAGGTAGAAATACTGAAAAGAGGATTGTTGGCGTAGCAGTAACAGGAGAGAAATGAAGCCGATGTAAAAGAGATTTTGAGCACAGGGACTGGAGCAAACAACCAGTGAACGTGGGTGAAAGTCAAACCAGAACTGCAGAATGGCTCTGGGGGTGGTTGTCACTCCTGCCTTGGCAGCTGCTCTCATGGCTTGCTTTTTCCCTGAGACCTGGTTCCCCCGGAAATGGGGACTGCTGTCATTTTAGATGTGAGCCAGAACATCTATAGTTCTTTTTTTTTTTTCTCTTTCTGAACTTCCTTTTTAAGCAGACTTGAGTGAAACACACAGCATACACAGAGGAATGTTTGCAGTAATGTGTTGAAAATATTGGCCCAGATCTTCAAGTTTAGGAATGAAAGCTAGGTATCCACAAGCTAAATTAGAGCAACTCTAATGCTAGTTTTAAATGAAATCTGGCTGCTCATAGCCTCATTGATCACGCGTGACATAAAAATAGAGATGTTTTGATGCCTGCCCCTTTGTTTCTTCACTACACAAGCTCTAGTCCACCTCGGGATTTGTCCTCTGCTGAGGGAGTTCTCCAGTAACACATTTAGCTGTCTATTTGTTTCTTCCATCTGCTCCTATCTGCTAGAGCAGGGATCAGAATTTGTCTTGAGGAATTCCCATTTTCTTTTTATAGCTTCACACTGATTCACCATGGGCAGGGGTTCAGGTACAAGGAATGTTGCAGGCTGTGAACTATATCCTGCTCAGCTGTACACCTACAGTTTCCACCCATTTGTAAAAAAAGACTGACAAGCATCCAAGAGAATAATTTGATCTTGTTCCTGTTATTAGACCTGCATGACTTGATATTGCTCAAGAAGTAGTTTTCTAGCTTTTGGAAGCCTGCTATTATCATTAGAAGACTCTGTTACTCTTTGTAGGAAGATGTAGGCTTTTGATGAAGAATAATTCTCCTCTCCATTTCCTCAAGCCTACTGTTTCTCTTCCAGTTATGTCCAAACATGGCAGCTGGGACAAAAAAGACCATCTCTTTTCTTTGTACAGACAGGTAATTTGTAGCTGCATTCTGTCCAAGATTCTGAATAAACCAAAAAGTGTGGGATTTTTTTTGACCTGTTTCTTTGATCCATACAATTTCTGTCCCCTGAAAGGAAATAAACCAATGCCCAATCCTGAAAAAAAAACCCAGTAAAGAACAATATATTATTTTAATGCATTTTTTAAAAAGGTATACTTACTTAGAAACTTTAGGCATAGCTGATCCAGCTGGGGGTAGAAGAATGCAGTGGATGAGCCCATCTCAGTGTCCCTTCCACTTATGTTTTCTATGGTAATATGATTGGGAAGAGGATAATTATCAGCAATATTCAGTGTGAACACAGGAGCAGATTTGGAGCGCTGCCTGATTACAAAGTATTTGTCTAACACTCATCGTCATTATATGAGAATGCTTTAATTAGCATTGAAAACATTTAGTTACATAGACCATCTATGGCAAAAATAGACTGTGCGCCTCATGTATTTTACGCTGTATTAAATGCTAAGTATTCAGACCTACATGGGCACACAATGTCATCACCTGAAAACACTAAAACCTATAAATCCTTGATTTTCATTTGCAACAAAAATACCAAAAATCATTGATTGTATCAACACTGATTTTGATGTTGAAATGACTCTAAGTATCAACCAGGCAGCAGATTTCAATGCAAGGTAAACATTTTCTTGTCAGTAAGGATCAATGATGACAAAATGTGTTTTATCTACTAAAAAATAGATAATCAGCTTATAATCATGGAGAGGACAAATTATCCTGATCTATTTCTATGAAGGCAGATCCTATTCTGGCATCTGAACAGCTGAGTAGGAGGTATGTATATATTTAAAGACAAGATACCACGCACAGAGAGCAAATTCCTGTTTGGTTCTTATACTGGTTTATATTCAGCTCTAAATGAAGTTCTGATTATATTTTCTGAACCGTTTACTTCTCTCCATTTAGTTCATCGAAGTTATTCAAATCTGGATTTTAAACCTGTGTTTCTACAAAGTTGACTGGAAGCAGATTCATTTACCTAATGTCAAGGTTAGACTCAGCACACAGATTAAGACACCTAAATTTAGGTGTCTGCACGTAGGTGTTTACATGTGAGCGAGGTGCCGTGGCTCCCAGCGCGGTCAGCGGAGGCACCTGCGGCTGGTTCGCTCCCTAGCGCTCAAGATTCACTGACTGCTGAGCAGATCACCGTTACCTGTAAAGGCAGCTTAGTCACCTGCCTCTCATCTTGAAGACACGTACTGTTAGGTGTCTCAAACCGCAACCTGGACCTGATAACAGGTGTTTATAAGATCAACACCTAAACCTGAGCAGGTACTTGTTGAGTAGTGTCCCGGTATAATCAATGAAGAGCTGGTCAGTGGAGCTTAGGGTGCCATTAATCCAATCAACTCTGTCTGTTTTATGAGCTGAGTCATGCCATAAACTCCTTTGACTAGTTCTCCAGCAACCAGAATGGGAGCCCAGACACCTAGTTTACATACAGGCACATACATTGTAGACACCTAAGGTTAAGTAAGATCAGTCCTACCCTAGGTGGCTACTAGATGATGAGATCCTCTCATCTGACTTCTTGCATGAAACAGGCTGTAGAACTGAGTTCAGCAGCCTCTGGATAAGCAGACTCACAAAAAAAAAAAAAAGTGGTTAGGTCTACTTGTGAGCCCTCTCACCTATGGCTTGCCCAGAGACTCTGCACATACCGGCTTTTTCCAACCTCTTCCACAAAGTCTACGCAAGGAGAAAAAAGTTTCCTTTATGCACAATAAGGGGAGGGGTTGTCACCAACAATTCCTTCTTCCCATGGGAAAGACTTGGGGGTGACGGATGCAGGACACAACATGATTATGCTTTTGTATCTCAATGCAGATGTTTCAGAACAAAATTATCATGAAAAGGCTGATGAAGCTTGTGTAACAGATTTTCATGATTCAAGTCCAGGATGTGTTTGAAGTGACCAATTGTGTGTCATTTAATTAACTGATACAGTAGATATGCTGGCCCTGCCAGAGGATTTCTAAACTCTTTGTACCAACTAGTTTTAGTTGAGAGACTGTGCAATGACCTTACTCCATTTTCTGTATTTTCCCAAATGCAGATTTTACCGTTTATCTTAACTGAAGTGGAAGCAGCATCTTGTATTTTCCATCTCCTCCCATGCTTCTAACTAAAATTCAACTGTGGGTCAAATCCTTGGCTGGAAAGAGTGTATACAGACCAGTATCTGCCTTGTATAAAAAAGTTAGAAAAACAGGATGTGTTTTATTTGACTGGAGTGAACTTAATGGTCAGAGGTCATTTTCATTTAAGACACATTTTTCTCATAGTTTTCAAATGCATTTTGTTTCTTAAATTACAGCAAAAATAAATGCATTTTTCTCGGCATTTTGTCTTAAGGATCTCAAGACACTTTATTGGCAGTAATTTGCTAAATCTTGCAATCTTCCTATATAGTGAATATGTCACTGCTTTTCTTATCTGCTTTCTCAGCTTCCAGGCTTATTTCCCTCCAGTGAGAGGGAAGACCCTCAGTGCTTTCCAACCTACGGCTATTAAGAGGACAGAAACACCACTTTCATGTACAACTTTTTTTTTTTTTTTTTCCTGTTAGTTGTGTTTTTCTTCATTTGTCCTCCCAAACCGAAAACTTGGTAATGGGTTCTTCTTTTATTTCACTGGCATGCTATATTTTCCCCTTGTTTTTAACTACTCCCCAGTGAGTCTCCGGTTTGCCCTGTTCCATTCATTCCCTCTGGAAGGGTTTTCAAGTTTTGAAAGTTCACTTCAGGAAGATTTCATAATAAGAACTTAAGGAAAATAATATAATCTTGCTTTAAAACACTTCCTTCCTCTGTTTTGCTGATGAATTATAACAATTCACAATACCATCTGGCTAGCAACTGGTACAGAACTTATTTCATTGTTTTAAAGGTATTTGTTCCTTTTGGTTGTAGAGCACCTAACATGAGGATTCCCTAGCTGCTCTTCTGTGATCAGACAAACCCAGACTACAACCTGAGATCAAGATGTGCCATATGTTTGGAACTGCACTAGAAGTAGCCTTGGCAAATGATCTGTAGTCTTACAGTGAATTAGAATGTGAGTTCTGTGGTGGAGGGCAAAATGCAGGACTGAATTTTGCAGCTTGATCCATTTTCTAAAATCAAGTATCTGAAGAGAAATCCAACCTCCTCCTTCTTAAGGGGACTTTGTAGACACTTCTTAAGCTCATAGATCAAATTAAAAATGAGAAAGGAATCTGTTTTCTGAATTCAGTTTTGACGTAACTCAGGATAACAGAAATATAGCTGGAAAAGAAGCTTTCATGAGCTTTCTACAGTCCCAGTTTTGAGGAATCTCCCAGAACAGTTTGGAAAGTTGGATGGTGCTCCAGACCCAAGTCTAGGAAGGACAGCCTCCATTCCAAAACTCAAGTGACAAATTAAGCATAGTCCAGTTCTGAATTTGATCATGCATGGATCAGAAGCGTTGGTGGTGATGTGGAGGGGAAGTACTGCACCTGAGCCTCTCACCAGATCATCTGAAGCACTCAATACACAAGGTGAGTCAGACTTCAGGGCTTTCTAGCTCCTCCCTCCAAGCAGATTTGGAGCACACATGACTATCAGACATTTAATACATAATCCAAGGCCTGATTCAGTGTGGATCCTATTATGGTGCAATTTCAGTGAAACTACCTTGCCTTATCCTACAGTTAAAGTTAATTTCATTCACTTGCGTGTTTTTGAAAAGACTATGAAAGTGAAGAATTACTCAAAACAGTCTCTGGTGATTATGGATGTCCTTACAGCCCCTAATGTGAAGTGAGTGTTATGGTGTAAATGTACAGAGTCACCGTCTGTCCTGTAAACAGATGTTAATCTTCAGCATCATTGCTCCTCCAGCTGCAACCTCACTGACCAATGTCATGTTTGGTGTTGATTTTTTTGATAAAACATCTTTGGATTGCCATTTTTTTCTTATAAACTATGGCCTAATAATAGGAAGCAAAGGCTAGCTTCACATTAATGACATAGGTGGTAAAGTTCTTAGAATTTTTTTTTAGTTCACCAAACCATTCTAGTCCTCAGATTTAGATTCTTTAAAGCAAATGCTGATGTATACCCAACACACAATGTTTTCTCACATTGCCTCATTTACACATGCTCATATAATTTCCATGTGCACTATAGCATATTGTAAAGCTGTGTTGTACTCTTTTCATTTTTACACTGAATGATTTCAAATGGAACCTAACATAATTATGTTACATGTAATCTCTTCCCATTTTGATCCTGTTCTCGAGAGTGTTTGCAGAGAAGATCTCTTGAGTCTTAAATGCACAACTTCAAATAATGCTGACGGTGATGAGTAAGAGAAGCACACTCTTAGGAAAACATAGTGATGTGCAGGACAAAGACTCATGACTTTATCAAGTGAACTAGGTGTCACCATTGGCAGCATCCGCTTTAAAATCCTTGACACACAATTTTTTGAACTTCTGCACAGAACCTATAACAAGTTGATTCAGAGTGCTTCCTTACCCATTTCTCTCCTGAATCAACACAAACCCTTATTAATATCTGCTTGTAACAGGGTTCCCAAAGAGATGGTATAGTTTCTATTAAGGTGTCAGCCTTCGAGATAAACTGCAGCTTAGAAGCATTTTCAAACAGCCATCACCTTCCTGGTAGTATATTAAAAGAGATTATGCATTGCCAGAGACAGCAAGCCTTGTCAGGTCAGGGCAAAACAACATTTTAAGCCGACTGGCTCATATATCTCAAGGTATGTGTGTCCTTGCACAAATTCACTTTCCCCTCAACCCAGTATTTAAGAAAATCCACCTTTCATGATGTTGATCGATCTGAACTGTGGTCAGATTGAATCCTGTTTATTATGTTGAGGTTAGGGAAGGGGAAAAAACTCCAGATGTGATAGTAAATTATTGGATCATAAGGAAACTTTGAGGAAAAACCCCTGTTATTCGGTGGTTGGTGCCTCACATTTCAGAAAGCTCTTCTTTGCATAAAAATTTTGTGACAGAATAAACCATGTTTACACTCCAGAGGTATCTGCCAAATGTTTGGGAAGCTTCGTACTGCTTTACAGCCTAAAGCTGGTTTTGTTTGCTAGAGGTGAGGGGTGTCTTTATTAATGATGGTGGCTGCCTACAAGGTCCCCTGGCTTCCTTACAGGATGAAATTGGGTAACTGGTTCCTAGTGAAGCCTGGTGTAAACACCAGCCTCAGCAGTATCTGTCAGCACGTCTTCTCCATCAGCCAGGAATGTGAATTACCCTCGGTCCCTGTATTTGGGCAGTCTTACTGCCACTTGTGCAATGGCCCTACTGTGGGAAATGAACTCAATTGCCTACTGGTGTGAAACAGCTTGAGAGAGCTTGGCCACCCTCTAGCTGGCTTGTCTCACTCCACAGTTGCCATATGGGCTTGGTTAGGGAA